TTTGGAAGAATGTCTGTATGTGCATATATGTTTTATAGTGTCTTTCTAGAAGTTTGGGCAAGAATATTGACATTCTAGCATGTGTATGTTTCTGAGGGTTGAACCAAGAGCCTCAACATGTTATATAATCATACTACCACTGAGTTATACCTCTAGCTCCGGCAAACAGTTTCTTCCAATTCTTCTTTTTCTTTTTTTGCCAGTTCTGGGGCTTGAACTCAGGCCAGCCCTCTTTGGGAAAGGGCTTTCTAAAGAATAGAGAATATAGGCTGGGAATGTAGCTTAGTGGTAGAGTGCTTGCCTTGCATGCATGAAGCCCTGGGTTCGATTCCTCAGTACCACATAAACAAAAAGCCGGAAGTAGCACTGTGTGGCTCAAAGTGGTAGAGTACCAGCCTTGAGCAAAGGAAGCTCAGGGACAGTGCCCAGGCCCAAGTTCGAGCCCCAGGACTGGCAAAAAACAAAAAAAACACTTGTTCAGATTTTTACCTATGCACCTTACAAGAAAACTTTTTTTCAGGGTGAAGAAGGGGAGTACAGTGAAGAAGAAAACTCCAAAGTGGAGCTGAAATCAGAAGCTAATGATGCTGCTAATTCTTCAGTAAAAGAAGAGAAGGGAGAAGAAAAGCCAGAAACCAAAGGCACTGTTACTGGAGAGAGGCAGAGTGGAGATGGACAGGTCGGTACGCTGCACAGTCCTCCATTTGGGGATGGAATGGGGCTCTCGACCTTGGAGAAGTGAGGAGTTTTTTTATCTGTCCTCCAGGAGAGCACAGAGCCTGTGGAGAACAAAGTGGGTAAGAAGGGACCTAAGCATTTGGATGATGATGAAGATAGGAAAAATCCAGCATACATACCACGGAAAGGGCTCTTCTTTGAGCATGATCTCCGAGGGCAAACTCAGGAGGAGGAAGTCAGGTAACATACAGTTGTGCTGCTGTGTAGTGTCTATTTAGTGTTTAGTATACGTCAGATGCTTTGCTAAGTGTTTTGCTTGTACTTTCATTTACTACTCAACATTTTAAGGTAAATATGTAATTATTCCCTCTGTACAGAGGAGGAAAGTGAAGCTTAGAATATTTGGTACCTTGTTGGAAGAGAAAATGAGAAAGAGATTTGGTAACTGTTGATGGAGAGCTGAGTCCAGACTCAGGGTAGACTGTCTCCAGAATCCATTTTTTTCCTGTCTTATTTTTTTATTTGTACATTTTTTATTTATTTACTTTTTCTGAGTCTCTTGCTGTGTAGCCTACATTGGTGGCCTTGAACTCCTTATTCTGTTCCTGGCTCCCATCTTCTCTTGGTCATCACAAGTGTGCTTTGTTTAATCCATGGCCTCTGAGGTATGCTGCACTTTAGGAAAATATGTCTTTCAAAGTTCTGATTGTCTCAAAGCACCTTGTCTTGGTTTTGTCCAGACCTAAGGGACGTCAGCGAAAGCTATGGAAGGATGAGGGTCGCTGGGAACATGACAAGTTCCGTGAAGATGAGCAGGCCCCAAAGTCCCGACAGGAGCTTATTGCGCTTTATGGATATGACATTCGCTCAGCTCATAATCCTGATGACATCAAACCCCGAAGAATCCGGAAACCTCGGTGAGGAAAATTGGAAGCACATATTATTGATATTTTTAAAAAGAATACCCCTACTTTTCTAAGTGTCTTCCTAACTTGTAAGTGAATGGGTGCGGAATATGGAATGTCTCCTTGATTCAGTTTATATCTCTAGTAGTCCTGTTATTTATTTATTTTATTTTTATTTATTACTTAATTTATTTACTTTGTATGTATGTATTTTCAATGTTTTAATTTCTTTTTTTTTTTTTAGATTTGGCAGTCCTCCACAAAGAGATCCAAACTGGATTGGTGAGCGGGCAAACAAGTCCCATCGCCACCAGGGTCCTGGGGGCACCCTACCACCAAGAACATTTATTAACAGGAATGCAGCAGGTACTGGTCGCATGTCTGCAGCCAGGAATTATTCCCGATCTGGGGGCTTCAAGGAAGGTCGTACTGGTTTTAGACCTGTGGAAGCTGGTGGGCAGCATGGAGGTCGTTCTAGTGAGACTGTTAAACATGATGCTAGTTACCGGTCACGGCGCCTGGAGCAGACTCCTGTGAGAGATCCATCTCCAGAAGCAGATGCTCCTGTGCTTGGCAGTCCCGAAAAGGAAGAAGCAGCTTCAGAGACACCAGCTCCTGTTCCTGACATTGCACCACCAGCCCCTGACAGACCCATTGAGAAGAAATCCTATTCTCGGGCCAGAAGAACTCGAACCAAAGTTGGGGATGCAGTGAAAGCTCCTGAAGAGGTCCCCCCTCCACCCGAAGGGCTGACCTCAGCACCTGCTGTCCCTGAAACTACCCCTCCATCTGCTAAGGCTGGCAACTGGGAGGCTCCAGTAGAGTCTGCTACAGGTGGACTGGAACAAGATGTGGCACAGCTAAATCTAACAGAACAGAATTGGGGTCCAGGACAGCCTTCATTCCTGCAGCCACGGGACCTCCGAGGTGGGTATTATAGGTCTTACGGCTATTTGAACTAAGTGAAATGCTTGAAGGCAGAAACTCACTTGAATTTGGATCTGAATATTCTGTCTTTTGAAGGAATGCCTTTCTAATTTCTTTAGTGTTCTAATGACAGAACTTTATATAATGTGGGTGTCTTTGAATACTTTGGAATGTGACCAGAGGAAGTAATACTTCACCCCAGTATCAAGGCTTGAACCCCTAGAGGCTAGTGAGTATCATACTGGATAACAGTTCCAGAAAGTGGCACTTTACCTACTGCCCTTTTTGCCAATTCTGCTTTGTCTTTGTGTCTCTAAAGAGATTGAGAGATCTCGGGCTGGGAAGGTGGCTCAGTGGTAGAGTGCTTGCCTTGCATGCATGAGGCCCTGGGTTCGATTCCTCAGCACCACATAAACAAAAAGAAAAAAGCTGGAAGTGGCGCTGTGGCTCAAGTGGTAGAGTGCTAGCCTTGAGCTGAAGAGCTGAAGGACAGCGCCCAGGCCCAGAGTTCAGGCCCCATGACCGGACCAAAAAAAAAAAAGATTGAGAGATCTTTTCTGTAGTTTCTGTAATATAGCTCAAACTTAAAGATTGGAAGTCCTCATTTGCATTAGGAGTCTTAGTACACTTTTGGTATATGTGAATTTTTAGCACGAAAAACTAGATCAACCAGAGTTGATCTCTAGAGAACACTTTCTGATGGATATCTTATTATCTTTGGAAGACCATTTGTAGAGCATTCCTTTTTTTGGGGGGTGGGGGTGGAGGGGTCATGGGGTTTGAACTCAGCCTGGGGACTGTCCCGGAGCTATTCAGCTCAAGGTGAGCACTCTATCACTTGAATTACAGTGACACTTCTGTTTTTCTGGTGGTTTATAGGAAATATAAGTCTCATGGACTTTACTGCCAAAGCTGGCTTTTGAACCATGATCCTCCTGAGTAGTTAGGATTTGGCATGAGCCACCAGCACCTGGCAAGCATTCCTTTTTCTCCTGAGTAATTTTTAGCCAGATTGGAATTTCTTCTCAAACTTCTTCCCAGCCACAGGACCTCTGTGATTAGGAGATAATCAAGTATATTTATAAAGCATCCAATTGCTGTTCAGAAACATTTAGACTAAGATTTTATAATAGGTTTAATAATATAATGTGTGATTGTAACCTCCCAGGGTTTCTATGCAGAAAAGTATTTGGTAGGAAAAATTTGAACTTGGTTTTTTGTTTTGTTTGTTTGTTTTTTTGTTTTTTTTTTTTAACCAAAGTTGGGGTCATATCTTTCATGTTCATTAATTACTGTTTTAATATGGTAAGCAGCCAGACACTAGTGGCTCACACCTATTATCATAGCTACTTGGGAGACTGAGATCTGGGATCAAGGTTTGAAGCCAACTCCAGGCAGGAAGGTCTGTGAGATTCTTATCTCCAGTTTATCACCCCCCCCAAAAAAAAGGAGGAGGTGGGGCGAGAGAAAGAAAGAAAGAAAAGAAAGAAGATGAGTAAGCTGGAAATATAGCTGTGGCTCACATGGTTGAGCACCAACCTTGAGCAAAAGCTAAGGGAAAGTGCCCAGGCCCTGAGTTTAAGCCCCAGTATTGCCACAAAAAAGAGAGATAGCAGTTTAAGATGTTAGTATTAGCTGGATGCCAGTGGCTAATGCCTGTAATTGTAGCTACTCAAGAGGCTGAGATCTAAGGATCATGGTTCAAAAAAGCCTGGGTAGGAAAGTCTTATCTCCAAGTAACTACCAGAAAACTGGAAGTGATGCTGTGACTCAAAGTGGTAGAGCACTAGCGTGAGATCAAGCTCCAGGACC